TCCCATGTTTTCCAGCACAGGAGAATGCTCTCTGACCCATTAACTCTGCCCGTGATTTTTCCTCCCGCTCCGGAGCGGATTTAGCGGAATCGTTCACATCTGACACCTCTCTGCATGCCTGTTCCCCTTCCCGCTCGGGCCGTCTGCCTTGCGGTTTCCCTCTAGGTTTGCAAATTGTTCCCTAGGTCTCCTACCATAGGGATGGAGCCTACGGAAACGGAAGCGGGCGGTAGGAAGCTGGAGATGATGCACTTGCTGTGGGACCGAGCGATAGGATTCGGGGCAGGACCCAAAGAGGCCGATGTGTGTTTCCACAGAGCGGGATCCACGTGTTCCGTGGAATTCTCGGCGGCAGGGATCCGTTCGGGTCCTGCCGGGGACGTGTCTGATGGGAAAACCCGTAGCCTTTATGTTCACCAGGCAACCCCCCGCGGGGTTGGAAGCGGAGCCCGTACGTTGCCGGGGTTGAATTCCAGCGTTGGGGGGGGGAAAAGCGGTGAGGATGCTCGGCGGTGGGTCCCCCGCGGCGCTGCGGGGGAGCTGTTCCTCCCGCTTCCTGCGCTCGACCGCGTCCCAGTGCGGGACGGAGGGAGAGGGGGACTGTTCAAACGGTGCTCTCCGCCCGCCGGCTGTTACCCGGATTCCGTCATTACCTCAGCCACGCTCGCTCCTGCCTGGCCGCCCGTGGCTGTACGGCATCCTCCCCTTATCCCCCCGGCACCGATGCTCCTCACGCGCAGGGGAGAAGCGCGTTGTCCGTCTGCGTTCCGGCAGATGGGCAGCTGTCTTGGAATCATAGAATCACGGAATGGTTTGGGTTGGATGGGACCTTAAAGATGATCCAGTTCCAACCCCCCTGCCATGGGCAGGGACACCTTCCACTAGACCAGGTTGCTCCAAGCCTCATCCAGCCTGGCCTTGGACACTTCCAGGGATGGGGCATCCACAGCTTCTCTGGGCGACCTTCTAACTCGCCGAGCCGTGGTTGAACCGTGATGGCATTTGAGTCATCACGAGGAACGGCACAAAGTCGGGGGGGGGCGGTATGTGTCAGATTTAGGCTCGGGTATTTATCCATTTACATGTTTTTTGGGTTAGACAATTTGTTTTCCCACAATCAGTGGATAGGAGAGGGTAGAGTAATTCTGTTTTCATGAATCTTCAAGTCCCCAGTGTGGTCAGTTTTATTTTTGCCTTCGCCCCCGGTAGAGTTACCAGCGGTATGGCAGGGCCTCGGGAGCCGGGTGACTCAAAGATGTGACTTAAAACACCACCATCCCGGTTACTTCCGCAGGCTTCTCCTTCGCCCACCTTGTCCTCCGAGGATCTGTCTGTGAGGAGATAGGTTTTACCATCGGGAGATGGTCGGATGATGGCTCTGATCCTGACGTCTGCGCTGTCGCGGCACGCGCGCGCCATGGCAACCGGCGATGCGTCGGGCTGCTCGCCCGCCTGGGAATTACGGGATGGGGGGGAGAGGAAAAAAGGCCCGACCAAGATCTCCTCCTCAGCTGACGCGGAAGGGATTCCCTCGCGCTGTTCACGCCGGTGCTGACCGCATCCCACTTGGACCGCGGCAGCTGGGGACTCTTAATTCGCTGATTTTCAGGATAAAAAGGTACATTTTATTGGTACAACCCCTGCAGCTGCGGAAAATTCCTTCCCTGTATTGAAGTTATGTGAAGTGGGAATCACTGAGGTGATTTTTTTTATTTTCCTTCATTCTGCTGGAGAATAAAAGCCAATAGTTGCTTCTCCCACAACCACACGTTTCCAGTTTGGTTAAAAAAAAACCATTACCCAGTAGCAGATGCGAATGGAGCGCAGGGCTTCTTGGGTGACCCTAGATAAAACCCCCCAAATTCAGCTTAAAGGAACACCGGTGCCTCAGGAACGGGCCGTTTTCCGCAGCGGGAGGGCGTGCAGGAAAAATCTGTCGCCGCGTTCCAGGTTCAGCACTGAGAGGACACGTCGCCTGCGCGCTGCTGTGGGCGTTCCCTTCGACGGGTTCCTGTCGCAGACGCTGTAGAACGATGTTAAAATTTTACAGAAGCTGCAAGAAGGGTGTTTCGGGACGAAATCCGTGTCCTCGGGGGCAGAACGGGGGTGCGTAACGCGGGTAACGGGGGGTCGGTTCTTGGAGAGCGAGGTCTCAAAAGCGCAGTTTTAGGGGTCAGTAGCTGCGTAGTCGTTCGGAAAAGGAAGGCGTTCCGCGAGCTACGCCTTTTACGGTGAAACATGAGGTTCCCCAGGTACTCCACTTTGCAGTGATTTCGGCATGTCACGACCAGAATTAGGAAGCGGTTGGTACCGCCAGGTGCATGGTGTCTAGAGCCATGGAATGGTTTGGGCCGGGAGGGACATTAAAGCCCACCCAG